GGGGGTGACTGTGCCCTCCTCCAAAGTGGGGCGCTTGGACCTCTTCCTTGCATCTCTCAAATGTATTTTAACAAACTACTTCCTGTTCTTAACAATGGCATTGTCAATGACAAAGGCATTTGTCAATGACATTGACAATGCCCTCATCCTCCTTTTATTTACCACTTCTTGATATTTTCCCATGCATTCTGCCTTGTAGCTATGCAAGAGAATTGCTCGTTTAGTGGTTTTCAACCATTTTTGATTTGCAGTCCCCTAAAAAAAAAATTGAATGGAGGTATGGACCCCTTTGAATTGCGAATATTCACATACTTTTGATTGACCATAGTCATCTTTCACAGACCCCTTAGACAGTCTGCAGACGAGAAATTGAAAACCACTTTGCTACAGATACTTGTTTGGTTTAGAGAGGAACATTCCTGACCTCAGCAAGGGCAGGATGAACTCCTGAGGTCCCTTCCAATCTTACTTTTCTATGAGTCTATGCAAAAGATACCCACATTCTTCAAAATCCAGTGTCAAATCTTGAAAAGACATCTAGAGATTAAAGCTACCTAGTTAACAATAGTACTCCTATAAGTAGCTTTGCTATTATACACTATGAAGGAGATGTTTCTGGGACAAGTTACAAATGTTTGCCTCAAAACCAGTAAAACATGCCTTAAAGAAGGGGTGGGCAAAAATACTCATTTTCTAAATTTTTTAGGGGCCCTGCAGACTGGATAGAATAGCCTGGCAGGCTGCAGGGCCCCTAAAAAAGTTTAGAAAATGAGTATTTATCTGCTCCTGGCTCCTGTCAAAGATGACAGGAGCCAGGGCAATAGGACCTAGGGGAAGCCACAGACGATGAGCAACAGCAGGGCCCATCTAGCCCAGCCCCACTCCTGCCAGCTGGAAGCCTCTGCCTAGCAGGGGCTCCTGGCCTGGGACCGTGGGGATGTTCATGGCTGTGCCAGCGCAGGAAATTCAGGTAAGAAGGTGGGGAGGAGGAAGGCAAGGGAGGACGGCGGGGATTGCCCTGCGGTACAGGTGGGGACAAGCACGCAGCCCTGAACCTGCGTGACCCAGGCTCGCCCATCTGCACTGAGCAGTGGCGGGGGGAATGTGCTAAGCACAGGTGAAAATTGTGCCCCCACCCCACAACCTGTGTTCCCTGCTGCAGCCATCCAAGCTCACACGAGGCTGTCCTACCTCTCTGCTGTGGCACCACTGCCCCAGCGGTGGCAATGGAGAACAGGCACAGGCAGCCCTGCGTGGGCTCCAAGCAGCTGCCGCAAGGGGCAGAGGAGCAGCTGCTTTTGCCTTGCGCTGAGCACCATCCCCACTGCCACTGCTAGCCTGGGCCCCACATGGCCACTGCTGCCACTCTGGGCAGCACAGAGGCAGCAGTGAAGCAGCTGCACCACAGCCTAGCACGGCATGAGCTCCAGGCAGGCAGCAGCAGCAAACACTGGCTAGTGGCAGCTAGTAGGGGGGCCGCTTTCCTCTGCACTGAGCAGCAGTGGGTGCCTAGCTGCTGCTGCTCAGCCCCGGAGCCAGTGTAGAGCCCAAGCTATCAGCGGCAGTGGGGGTGGTGCTCAGTGCAGGGGAAAAAGTGGCCAGTCCCCCTCCCTGTGGCCAGTGCCCCGTGCTGCAGTCGCTTATAGCCTGCATGGAGCTGCCTGGGCCTGCTTTCCGTTGCCACCACTATGGCAGCAGTGACGTGGTGGAGAGGCAGGACTACCACGTCTGGGCTCTAGCCGGCTGCAGCAGGGAGCACCAGTGGAGGGGGGGTGGGGGGGGCTGCTTTTCCCCCCATGCTGAGGATCATCCCTGCCACCACTGCTCAGTGCAGATGGGCAAGTGCAGGGCATGCAGGGTTGGGGCTGTGCGCTTGTCCCCACCTGTACTGTGGGGCTGGGGCAGGGGCATTGGGAGTGAGCAGGCATGTGGGAGCCAGCAGCAGCCAGGAGGGAGTGCGGGGCCTGCGCCAGTGCCCCAGGGCCAGCACTGGCAGGGCTGAGCAGGGCGACAGGAGCACAAGGTCCCAGCCGGCAAGGGCTCTATGAAGCCAGGTCAGCTCCCTGCTCTCCCTGCTGGTGCCACAGACCCCTGCCAGCCCATACTCCTACCACCCCGGTCTGGGCCCCTCTGGTGCCAGCCCCAGGATATTGGTGCAAGCCCCATGCTCCCACGTGCCTCTCGCTTCCACTCCCCACCCCGCTCCACTTTCCTGCCCACCTGCCACTCAACACTACATGGCTCCCATACCCACATTCATGCCCACACATACATCCCCACAAACCCCTATATGCAATCACTGTTGCATAATACAGCACAAACGCACACAAATCAGGACAAAAAATATATTTAATTAAATTAAAATATATTATTATGGGTGTTTGATTTTTAGTATGCAATTTGTTTTCCCCCTCCTAAGATGGCAAACCCTCTTCCTCAAAGGAGTACTTCCAGGTGCAAAGGGGGAGACTTCCAGTGGCAAACGTCACAGGTTAGGGACAGGACTTCTGGTCCCAAGATGGTAACCAGGGGGCGGGGCACCTGTCAAGGGGCGGGGCTACCCATGCAGCCCTCAACAGCTTGCCAGAACATGGTAAACTGCCCTCCACCTGAAATAATTGCCCTCCCCTGGCTTAAAGCCATTGGGCACAGGTTTTGAAACAAAGTGTTAAACAGCTGTACCTCATAAGCAATGGACAATCACTGCAGGTAACAATCAACCTAGGGAACTGTGAAATGGGCTTTGAGGAGGATGTGCCTTTTACAATGGGAAAAAAAGGATTTAACTTTGCTACAGTATAAATGTATGCTAGCCAACTTTTAACTAAACTAATTTGGACTAGCACTGCCACAAAACTAAAAATGAAAGAAAAATATATAGCCAACAAATCACGAGGAAGCTACTGGAAAGAACTGAGTGACCCAAAGGAGCCAGATCTCCCCAAAAAACTTGGGTATGATTGTCCATTACTTTAAAAGCCATGCATGAGGCTCAACAGAAAAATAACCTTTTAGAGGGTTCTGAGAGAAGATGATGGGTATACCTGATATAGTCCAGCACAGATGAAGGTAGGCAATACTCAGACTATTCTTTGTTCTTATAAATCAAGTAGCAGCTTACATTTCATTCTATTCACTGTTAACTCAAACTATTTGTACCAAATAGTTCTTGGTATTCAAAATACTGATACCTAAAACATAACAATTATTTGGCTAACAAGATTGTATTACCTACATACAAATTCATACTTACAGTGGTTCTTCCTTCTCACTTCTCTTACTGATAGGCAGACCCTCCTGTTCTTTCAATTTATCTACAGCTTGCGCTTGCTTTTCAAACTCATTAAAACTCTGGCTGCTCATTTTCTGTGCTCCCAAACCAGCTTTTTTGGCACCAAGCTTTATTAAAAGGGAAGAGAGAAACAGAGAGGCCTTAAGGATAACCATACTACAGTAAAAGCTCTGTTATCCGGCATCCCCTGGGAATGGAGGATGCCAGTTAATCAAATATGCTGGTTAATCAAATATGCACTGTCCGGTACGCTCCCTGGCGTCAGTGTGCTAGGGGACAGGGAGGGGAGCCCCACGCAGGCTGCTTTGCCCCGGGCCATTGTCCACAAGGAAGAAGTGAAGAAGAAGAACTTGGCTCAAGGCAGCAAAACCAGAAGTGGGACTTCCGGTTTCACTTTGCCGCGTCCCTTGGAAGGAAGATGGGTATTGACAGATGCCGGTTAGTGGAGCCTTTCAGTTGGTAAAGTGCCAGATAATATGGCTTTCACTGCAATTGTCCTACATTTTAGTATCCTTGAGCATAGCAGCAGGCTCCGTACCCATCTCAGTAGAATCTGTGGTCAGTAACAAGTCTTCTGGAATGAAGCAACAATGATGTTCTGGGTATTCTTTTAAAATTTCTTCTGATGCTTAGTCTCCCTCTCAGTAACCTTTGACTTGGGAATCTGTTTATCTCAGCCAGGAGTCTGATGTACCCGTTACAGGTTGTGTCTACACGAGACATATTAATGCACATTAGCGGCGCGTGTCTACACAAGCACACCCTTCACTTGCATTAAAAATGGTGAAATCAGGCTTACTGTGCCTAAATGTGATAGCTGCAGGTAACAATTAGGTAACCTGCATTAACGCATGTATAGACACAGCACTAAAGTTAGTGCTGGGTCTGCCCAGCTACTAGTGGCACATGGCAAGGATGCAGGGACTTGGCACTAAAGTTAGTGCACTAACTTTAGTGCCAAGTCCCTACATGTGTAGACACCTGCCAAAAATTGCTTAATGTGCCTTAAATTTAGTTGCACTTTAATGCATGTGTAAACGTGCCCACAATGCATCAAAACTTGTCACATTCAGATAAATGATGTACTGGATGTCACAAAAAGCAAATAGGTGCAATTGGGCTGATTTGCTACTGCATTTTTCAGTTTCTCACCTGTTTAATTTCTTAGCATTCATTTTTTTATTAAAATGGATACAATCAATTTAAAATCCCCAAATAAAATACTGTATTTTTAAATACAAAAACACTATCCTGAGGGTACGTCCTAAACTCTGATCCTGCAATTCACTACATGCATGCACTCCTCCATGTACAGACCTATTCCTGTCATTAAGAGCACACCTGAATATAGTTATTTGTATGAACTGCCAGTTAAGAGGTTTCTAAAATTTAGTGCTGGAAGAAAGGAGCAGAGGTTCCAGTCCCTGCTCTCAGGCCTGCTTTTCTGCTTTATCCAAAGAGTTTTTAAGGTAAAGTACATAAAACATTCTTGGAAACAGAAACCAGAACCCCAGACACTTTGTAAGCTTAACCTCCAAAGCTATAGGCCCAAGCTCCCTCTTAAGCTCACTCTTTATGGGCCAATTTATCTTGAATTCTTTGCTGTGCAGCTTCAACAGGAGGGAGTGGAAGTGCTCCAAAGCAAAGTAAGTCTTTCTTCTGGATGACTGGCCTACATACTAAGTTTAGGAGCTCATAAGCAGCAGTTGTACAAGTCACCATAGTCAGGTGTGCCCTCAATGACAGGAGTCGGTCTGTACTATCACCTATGACCTGCTTGTTATGGCATTCTCTTGGGAGGTGGAAGATGTGGGTTTGAACACCGTCAGGAAGAGAATGCATATTGAGAGAAGGGTGTTGAAACAAGGTCTCCAACTTTTTGGGTGAAACCTGTAACTTCTAGGCTATTATATAGTGGGCACCACCATTCTTTTCTCTTCCTCTAGCCATATGTTAGAAAGACCTGAGCCCTGATCCATCTTTCAAAGAATGAAGGTAGGTGCTTGTTGTCAAAGAGAACTCAGGGCTCAGGATTACAAATGAGCACAGACAGTAGGATTGAACAAAATTATTTTGAATATATTTCAGTCATCATACTATTTATAAAAGAGTTTGATAGTCTGTCATAAGTCACATCTCACAATTGGTTTGAGAAAGACAATTATTACTGGTGCAAAACTACCATCCCACAACATACCAAATATATTTTACTTAGATAAATACAGTTCTAAATTGCCATCTAAATGCTTTCTAAATACTGTAACACACACCCAGAATATGCATTAATGATGCACTTACCCCTTTTTTAACTTGATTTGGCTTCTTTTTTATAACGGAGGTGCTCTCTGCAAAGATTAACACACATTACTATAGCATATACTTTTATTAATTTCAAGACTTGCAGAAGTATACTTCCATAATTTAAATCTCAAGTTAAACTGAGACAAACTGTATGTCACAATGTAATCTGCTGCCTTAAAATATTTCTGTTTCTACATGAAGAAATCTAGAACACTGAGGTACTACTATTTTTTAATGTCCGAGACATCTTGTAAAGACTAAAACAGAAAAACAATTTAAGGCTCTGTTTTCAAATCTGAATGCCTACAAGTAAGCTCCTAAATAAGAACACCACATTTGTGAAACACAGGATTCAAGGTTCCACCTAGTCCAATACCCTCTCTCTAACTCTCGCCATAATTACACAGTTTATATTTAATATACTTAAAATATGTCACCTAATATTTCAAAAGCAGTCTGAACCTACAAACAGCAGACATCAATTGAAGTGGCTTTTTTCAGCACCTGTGAATATCTAGCCGTTTTTCTTTGATTAACTAAACATAACTTTGAGATATATGTACTTAAGTTTTAAATTTGCAGTCATTAGTGTGCTGAAATAAACTGAGGCACAGAAAGGAATGGGAACTATAAAATCACTCTGTATAAATCCTATAACATTTTTCAAATTGTAGATATTTTAGAAAAACCTTAACAGAACCAAAATGAAGAATTTGTACCATTTCAATAATGACTTGTATATTAAGACAAAGATTGTCTTGCACAACAGTAACTTTCAAATGTTTCCTGTTATAACAATCTACAGCTTCAGTGAGTATTTGCCTCTATTGCAAAAGCAATTCAAGCTCTGAATGTTAGAAGCAGCCATATATAACAAAAAATTGTAAAAGAATTGTCTCGCAATGCACAAGAAAACAATAAAAGCACTAGCTGTACGTCTGTGGCACATGTTCACTTCAGGAAAGATGCATCATAAAGGAAACAACGCTTCCTTAACTAGTGACCACACAACTTCCAAATATGAAAAAATGTCATGTGTCAAATTTCAGCATAATTTAGTTCCTGTACAATAACTTTCACTTAACCTTTTGAGGACATTACACATTTCCTATATAATCTTTCTATGTTTTATTGTCTGCAGACATATCTACAGCTCCGAATTAAGTTTCTAGGATTTTTCATAAAAAATATTTTCACCTAGGATTTTTAAATGTAAAAATCTGCAAGAGCTTTTACACATCTCATAAATTAAGACATTCAGATGTACTTACTGGAGATGACCCATACTCTAGCCTAATCTCCATCTCAAACACAAACTCTAAAACATAGCTCAAATCATTCCCCACAGTGGGGAACAACCATCATTTTGTTGAGCATCCCCATTCGTTCATGGAATGGATCAAAGGGGTGCTGCTGCAAACCTGAGCAATCCACAAAAGGCTATTCCACCCATGCAGAATCTTGTGTTCCTGCACTTTCTCCTCTGCCTATGCAGCCTGGACAATGTAGGTGAAACAGTAGACTACTAAACTGCTACTTTCCTTATGTATTTGGCAAAGTAAAGAAACGTGTGTGTGGAGAGTCCTTTCTATGGGCAAGTCTAGAGGGTGTGATTTGAACTACGTTACAACTGCAATAAATGTTTTCAAGGAGAAACTGACAGGAATGATCTTTTGCATGATTACTCCTAATAATATTTCCATTATTACTGACATCATCTAGATCGGGGTTTCTCAATCTGTAGGCCACGAGAATATATGAAAGGGTAACGAACAAACTGTAAAATGGATCAACGAAACTTTAAAAATAGATTCTCCTTTAAACGTTAAAAACGTGGGAAACTAGGTTTTCCCTTGCAGGCTGGTAGAGTTCCAGCCTGCAAAGGGCTGCCATGGGCACCTCATAACCCACTCCCCCCCCCATCCCACACACTGTGGGGCTGAAGCCTGGTGGCAGGTCAGGAGTGAGGGGTACTAGCAGGGCCTGGGGACTGTTTTCTACTTAAAATATTTACTGGGTCAAGTCTAGCCATTGATATTTACAAGTGGGCAGTGCTGTAGCAACAAAGTTTGGCACCCAGGGCAAAGCCTGCAGCAGCAGCCCACACTTGCCCCATGCACAGATCTGGGGGCACATGCCCCACCATGCTTGTGTGGGAGTGCATGCAATGGTGGGAGCTGCCCTGCCCCCATCCCCATGCCCCGCCCAAACAAGCTGCTCATGGTTCTGTCCCGTACCCTGCCCTGGCTGGGCAGTGCCTGTTGGCACCTCTTTGCTTTGGCGCCCGGGGCAGTCACCCCGCTTCCCTCCCCCCGCTTGCTATAGCATTGCAAATGGGTCCCGGTACAAAAGTTGCAAATTCTTTGGGACAAGAATGTACCCTTCATGTCTGTGAAATTGTGCATCAAAGTGCTTTTTAGAAAAATGAAAAAGCTTTACTTTCGCCATCAGAATGCCATTTTCACTCACAAGGACCAGACACTTCTATGTGAACACCATCGGTATTGTAAACACATTTGAAACGTTAAAAACGTGGGAAACTAGGTTTTCCCTTGCAGGCTGGTAGAGTTCCAGCCTGCAAAGGGCTGCCATGGGCACCTCATAACCCACTCCCCCCCCCATCCCACACACTGTGGGGCTGAAGCCTGGTGGCAGGTCAGGAGTGAGGGGTACTAGCAGGGCCTGGGGACTGTTTTCTACTTAAAATATTTACTGGGTCAAGTCTAGCCATTGATATTTACAAGTGGGCAGTGCTGTAGCAACAAAGTTTGGCACCCAGGGCAAAGCCTGCAGCAGCAGCCCACACTTGCCCCATGCACAGATCTGGGGGCACATGCCCCACCATGCTTGTGTGGGAGTGCATGCAATGGTGGGAGCTGCCCTGCCCCCATCCCCATGCCCCGCCCAAACAAGCTGCTCATGGTTCTGTCCCGTACCCTGCCCTGGCTGGGCAGTGCCTGTTGGCACCTCTTTGCTTTGGCGCCCGGGGCAGTCACCCCGCTTCCCTCCCCCCGCTTGCTATAGCATTGCAAATGGGTCCCGGTACAAAAGTTGCAAATTCTTTGGGACAAGAATGTACCCTTCATGTCTGTGAAATTGTGCATCAAAGTGCTTTTTAGAAAAATGAAAAAGCTTTACTTTCGCCATCAGAATGCCATTTTCACTCACAAGGACCAGACACTTCTATGTGAACACCATCGGTATTATAAACACATTTGCTTGAATAGTCATAAATACTAAGATATACTTCTACCAGTGCTGGTCTTGATTTTTTGGAAAGCTAAATGTGTATTCAGCTCAAACAGTTACATTATCATTGTTTTATTATACACTAAAGGACACATTTCTACAACGTGACAACCTATGGACTCCCAACGTTGAAAATGTATGTTTATAGTCAAGTAAAAATATTTGATTTAGAGCTTTAAATGTTTTAATACTGAAAAGAGAAAAAGTTGTGTTAAAAACAGACAGAAACCTATTAGTGAAAAATGGTGTTTGCCTCAGTAAACAGAAGGCCATGAAGTACAGTGTAGTGCTCTATTCCATTTGTATACTTGTGTGTGGACCCTGAAGCAGCCCAACAGGAGGTCTAAAACATTAATGGTCACCTTTGTTAGGTGTGATGCCTGCAGCATTTAATTTCATCAAGTCAGCTAAAATAAAAGATACAAACAAACAGCACTGAGTAAAAATCGCTTCTGAAACAGTATACATTGTGTAACAAACAGTTGCAGTAGTATGCTGCATTCATTAATGTAATTTCAGCTAACTCATTAATATAAATTTATTGTAAGACTTGCACACTTTTTTACCACTCCACCATTTTCTTTAATGACATATACTGGAGCACAATATACGTGTCATCTACTTCTGTTTCAGGTTCATTACCTACTGCAGCTTTCGGTGACACACTGAGACAATCAACACTTGGGCCATGTTCTGCTGCACCTGAAAGTAAATAATGGGAACAACAAAAATACATTCACTGAGAAATTTTGAAGAGATTATGAATTAAAAAAAAAAAAAAAAATTCAAATAACTTCTTTTTTCCCTTCTCTCCCCTTGCCAACTTTTGATCACTGCGTAAAGCAACAACAATGTTTAAAGACAATGTTTTTTTTTTTAATTTATATTGTTATTGTAATAACATTATTAGCGACTAAGACAACGCTGGGAAAAAGGATGTTTTTAGAGGTACTTGCCACTTGAGGAAAAAAACAGACATCACATAAAGCCCAAATGTTAATCTAATCATAGGCTATGAATCATAAAATACTGAATTTTTTTAATGGCTGACATGTACTCTAATTATTAAAACGACTTTCAGGAGGAGAAAGATTCTTTCATTGTTAACACATACATTATGTATTCAATTAAGTCCCAACTTGACCAAATCTGATGGCTTAATCCATTTAGATTTATAATAAAAGTACCATTAGCAATACCTGCAGTTTTACTAATCATAACATAATCCCTCTGTGACCAGTTTCTCACCAATCTCCAAGCTTCCTAAATTCTTACCAGTAGAATATATTTTAAGAAGGCAAGCATTAGTTACTATTTGATACATACATTTAGAAACAAAAACATTGACCTCTGGACTACAAGCAAACAGCTTATTATTAAGATGAAAGATGGATCACACCTTCATTACTGTCTGTAGTGATTTCTGAAGAACTCTGCATTAGAGAAACTGGCTCTGGTTGTAAGGACACCCACTCCGAGTTATTTGTCTGAAACAAGATAAGAAACGTACTGATGAGCTCAGAAACTAAATTACATTTAAGTCTGAACAGAATCTCAAATGACTGACTAAGATGGTGGAGGATCTCAGTATTTCTCCAAATCTAGGTAGTATTTCTAGTAACATAGTCTGGAGTAACTGCTGGACTTGATCTCTTACATACACCGTCTGATAAAGTGAACTTGGGTTCACGAACACTTGTGCTCTTCCTTTTCCTCTCTAGTTAGTCAGTCTATAAAGGTACATATCTATCCTGCCTTCCAACTGACTTTAGACTGACATGGCTAACTACCTCTCTCTAAAATTTAAAGTGTTGCTGATTGAGCACCTGCACTTCCCATTTATTTCAATGGGCTTGGTAGATCCCTCACAAATAAAAATCAGGTTGTAATTTTTATATTTACAGTAGTACTGTAGTTATGGCATAGTAGTTGTTACATCTTTTTCATAAAGATTAATATGGTACAAAAAATCTGGACAGCTTTTTTACTGCTATATTCTGACCTCCTGTATGGAGCCTGGCATTTCTAATTTTCTAACATTTCATTGTGGATACATCTTTTCCAGCTACACCCTCTCTTTCAGAACAGGTAATTCCATTATCCTATCTACCAGTCCAGCTTGTAACCTCAATATTCTCTTTTCTCCTCCTTCCATGCTCTATTATTATTCTTTGCACCTATTCCATCCTATTCTGGAACCCTACTCTCCAAGCTTTCATCCATTCCCTCATCACTTTCTGTTTTGAGGACTGAAATATATACCTAACTTCCCTCCTTTCCAGGCCATGCAAGAATCTGATGCAAAAACGATGTCATTTTCCTCACTCAGACTATGTTACTCCATCATTTAAAACTTTTATTTGCTTTCACATAGCTGAAATGTTTGGTCTTCAGTCTCAAGAATCTGTGCAACTACTCCAGCCTACACCTCTACCTTTCTGGTTCCACTTCTTGCTCCCTTCTTTGGTTTGCCCAGGATCCACCTATCTTGAGTACCAGAGCTCCTGTTTCTGCTGCCTGGCTGAGGCCAGGGTGGCTCATGTGGCAGGGGAGACCAAGGGATATGGGGGGGGGGGGGGGGACGACTACACGGGTAGAAGGAACACATTCCTTCCACCCCTTTGGTGCTGGGCAGGGGGAGAACTACTGCAGCTCTGGCTCTGGTCCTGTAAAGGCCAGGGGTCAGAGCCAGAGCTGCCACTTGGCTGGAGCCAGGTACCAGAGTCAGAGCCAGAGATGCTGCAGAGTAAGCAGCAACAGGGAGGCAGGCACGCCTGCAGCTGCTTTTCCTGCTACTTGCCCCGCTGCCATTGCTTTCCCCACCACAGCAGCAGGGGGAGACAAATTTAAGATGACCCTCCAACAGTAAAATTCTATACATGGAAAATTATAACAAACATCATTTTCCTTGTATAGAATCTAATGGGGGGGGGGGGGGGAGGGTGTCATCTTAAATTCAAAGATGTCCGATTTAGATAAAAAAGGGTAGATAACACTTTGATATCTCGGTCTCTCTGTAAGTGCTATATTATAGCAATATTTGAATGGTATTTGCATATAGGTTGTAACTGTATTACAGAGATATCTTTTGTTGCAATGTCTCAGGAATATCTGTTTATAGTAATACAGGTGACAGCTTTAACATCATCCTTGCAAAAATCACTTCCCAATGCGGGCATCTGAATTCTTCTTCACCATGCTCTTAATACTCATAAAACTCTAAACTGTCTACAGCAAGCAGTTTCAGATAAAATTGCAAAAAGATACAGCAGAACAAAAGAAATAGAGCATATTAAGGATTCAGCTGTGAAAGCAAATTAGAATTGAGAGAGAATAAGAACAACAAGAAATATAGCACTGTAGCTCTTTTACAGATCTGGTAAGTTATCTGGGAATTATTTGTTCCACAGAAAAGTTTCTACTTACTAAGTTTTTTAAGACTTATTAAACCCTTTATTGTATGGTAAATTTAAATCACTTAAGTGTTTAATTTGAAAAATGTATTGAAACCAAAAGAATAACCTCTACGGATTACATTATAAACAGAAAGGTAGCTTTAACCGTAACTAGGCCTGAGCTACCATGAATCTTACAAAAGGTATTGTTTTAGGTTTCAGTCCCCCCTTAAAAATGCATGTTAAACACCACAGAATCTAAGCAAAGAAGTTATGTACAGTATTTTTTATACCTTAGGTGAAACATGTGATGCAAAAAAATCTTCTTCTATGTATTGGGGGGATAAAGGTGGAATTCCACAGCCATCTATCCACAACTAGAATTTAAACAAACAAACAAAAAAAAAGTGCTTCAGTTTTTACCTGACATTATAGGAATGTTCCAGCTATATATGGCACATTTAAAAAAAAAAATTACTTTTGGCAAGGATACTAGCTGATTTTTCATAAGAATGTCCCTCCCCACCCCAAGCATATTTGATCTTTAAACACAAACCTTTCAATTTCCCCGCTTTTGATGTCTGTAAAGAACAATTTCTCTCCAGACAACTGAAATTCCTGCTGTATAAAATGTCCTAGCACAACCTCTGTGGGCAACAGTAGAGCCAACATTTAACAGCCCTGAAGCTTGAGCACTGAATGTGATAAAACAAATAAGTTATTCCTCAATTGTCTCCCTAATAGATTCATTTTCACATAGTAAAAAAAACAGGGCTGTCAAGCAATAATTTGAATAAACTTTCCAAAGAATCTCAATTTGTCTCGGTCCTACTCCAACAGAATTTTTCATCTGCTCTGAAGAAGAGTTATAATAACAACTCTATAACATTATAATAATGAAGGACCTAGTTTTTCAAGGAACTGGCTCTAATACAGGCTACTCAAGGTAGCCTTCAGAAAATGACAAGATAGAACTTTAATCTTTGACCTGTGTCCCAAAACTACAAATAAAGGAAGACATGGCTAATGGTGAATTCTATTATCATATTTGTTCATATTCATTCACTGTGTTCACCTTTTTCCTGGAAATCTGCAATAAAAAAATTGGGCCATGCATCTTAGATGAAGAAACTGATTCTGAACAGTTTAATTAAAAGGGAAAAATCATGTTTTCTTCGCTCTATGTTCTCAAAACAAGGTATACATCTATCATTGATCAAAATGATCTAAAACACTTATTCTAAGCATTTAAAAAAACAGGCAGCAAGAGACACCGATTTAAATTATTAATTTTAATCTTGTTTTGTATTTATTCTTTTTAATTATGTTCCTAAAAAAAGGTTGATTCCTAATTACTAGTACTTCTCATTAACTAGAATGATGCGTGATAAGCATTCATCTTGACATTATATAGCCCAATATACATTTATTCAAAATCATAAGAAATTCATCACTTATTTACTAAATAAGTTACTTGTGCTGTGTGCATTCTTAATCTTGACACACTTAAAAATATTTTAGTTAAACAAAGCTAATTAACACACTGCATGCATTATAGAACGTTTAAAAACACATTTGCAAATTAAAAATGATTTGTTAATAAAAGAAATATTCGTTTTAGTTAGTGAATTTAGCTGAACTGGTTAAATAAAACTGAAAAAAAATACTCTTTCTGCACCTGTGGTAGAGGCTACTGCTGTCTAAAGTTGGTTTAGCACCTCAGTAAACACTGATTCATACCCTTTAGTCAATTCCATGGTTTATCTTTCTTTAAAACTGACAGCAAACATTATATTACAACTAGCCAATTGCCAGTCAAGAATGACCAGGAGGAGGGGCGAAGCAGGTGGGGATGGAGCCTCGTGTGTCATCCCCCCGCCATCCAGGCCCGCTCCCCCCTTCCCTCCTGCCACTTGGGGTCTGGGCCTGCTCCCCACTTCCCCGCTGCAGTAGCGGGGGGAAGGGAGGAACAGGCCCGAGGGTGGGGAGAAGCTGGCCCACTGCTGTGGTGGGGAGGGGGAAAATGGTAGGAGTGGGCTCGGGCTCAATGCGGGGAGGAGGCCCGCTCCTCCCCTCCACCTGCTGCTGCTGGGTTTGCCCAGGCCCATTGCTCCCCACCACACCGCCTCAGCGGGCCGGCTTCTCCCCTCCTTGGACCTGCGCCTCCCTTCCCCCACTGCCACCACATCAGCCAGGGCCCACTCTTCCCCCCCTGCCATCATGGCGCACACATTCCTCTCCACACCACTGCCGCATCAGCCCTGCAGGTGGCAACGACAAAAGGGGGAGGGGTGAGCCAAGGCCAGTTCCAGCAGCCTCGCCCCCCCCTCCCCCTCCCCATCATCGTCAACTGCAGGGAGCAGGACAGGGGAGGCGAGGCCAGCGCTAGCCTAACCTCTGTGTTCCATATGCTCTGTTGCCACTGCCTCCAGGAAGCCTCCCCTCCATCCCATGTGTCCCTGCCATCATGGAGATGCTCCACCGCACCACCACCTCCTGTCCCAACAATGTATTTGCACTCTGGTTGGTTGTTTTAGTCAGCCAATCAGAGTGCAAATAAAGTGTTATGGACAGACAGATAGACTAAGGATTTTATAATATTAAAAGATTATTTTTATGTATATTATTTTAATAGAGGAAACTAATTTTAGGGATTAATATATATTACCATAGTTTCAGATACTTTAAAAAATATATTAAATGCGAAATAATTTAAAGAAAAATCTGTTTTTTAAAATCTGATTTTATCCACACTATTTTACTAGTCTTGCACAACTTATTCAGGTTGATCTTATAAAGTACCAAAATAAAAACTCTTTACAGTTTTAACATATTGACACTTTCCATGCAAGATACATAGTTCTATCATATTACCACACAAATCATTTTGATCAACTGTAATTCCTTTCTGGCATCCGTAATTATTCTATACCTATGGCCTTAGTCTGTCTGTCCGTAACGCTTTATTTGCACTCTGACTGGCTGTCTTGGCAGCCAATCAGAGTGTGAATACAGCATTATGGACAGCATGTGGCGGAGTGCCGCCATGATGGCAGGGACAGAGGGGGGCCAGCACAGCTGGCCTGGCCCCCTTCCTCCTGCTCCGTGGAGGAGGCGGAGGCAGTGTGAGGGGGAGGGTGGGAACAGGGTTGGGGCTGCTGTCGCAAGGTGGAGACAGGGGGAGCAGCCCCGATCCCGAACTGCTGGGGGGAACATGGCTGAGCCCAAAGGAGCGGGGGGGGGGGGGGGGGGGAAGGAGAGCGGGGCTGCAGGGCTCTGTCCCCACCAGCCCCCCCGGGCCCCAAAGTGACGGAGGTGAGGGGAGCAAGCCTGGCCCCAGGCCTCTGTTCCCCCTGTAGAAAAACCCCCAGTTTTTCCTTTTCTTTTAAAATGCATTCTTTCCCCTTCCCCAACCATTTCTGACTTTTTCTTTCCCGCTCTATACTTATAGGTAAGTATAAGTGAGCTAAGACATAGGATAAGCTTCAGCATTTTATTTTGGTAGCAAGTTGGATTTGTTTTGTTTCTTCTCCTTCTTTATATTGTATAATTATCCGGTTTATATTGATTTTTACTGTTCTATATTACTGTTTTACTGGTACTGTATGATTTAGGCCTACATATGTAAGTTAGCATAAGTCATGTCAAGTTTCCATCTTGTAATGTCAAGCCGCCATCTTATCCCCATGCCCCGCTGTGTAATCTATGACTCACACCTACCCCTTCTACGTAACTTGGTTCCTGAATGAATGGGGATGAATGAGGGTGCTTGAGAGACAATGGCAGTAGGTCTAAAAATAGCTCCCTCTTAATGACCAAACCATCAATACCAATACCTGGGCCAATGACCCAGCCCTTGGAACGACCCTCAGCATTCAAGACACAAAAGATGAGGCAACCCACCATTGTGCCAAGCTGTACATTCTCAGTAAGAACACCTGGAGCCCTCTGGAACAGGACTGACCTTGCCTGGACAGGCCCTCCCCATCAAAGGTAGCCTGCCCCATAAAAAGGGGTAGTGAAGACTGACTCCTTGGGACTCCCTCTCCATCTGGACCAGCACCATGCCACATCACCTATCCACCCAGGGGCCCTGCCAGAGACCCCCCTCTGGACAACACCTACTGGACAAGGACCTCTGTCCAGTAGCTATGACCCCCCCACCCCCTCTTCAACCAAGGACTTGGATTCTGCTTCTCTTCCCTACCTGGACTCCAACCCTTCCACTGAGTCTCCTGCTGCCAGTGTGAGTGCGTACCAATAACTTCATGGGGCTGTGTAGTGTGTTGTCCATTTAATAAAACTGTTATTTGGACCCCCGAGTTTTACTTTAGTACGGTTCAGCCTTGCTCCAATCTCTGCTCCTTGCCCCTCTAACTGCTGTCTTATTTCTCCCTCTCCTGCTTCTGGCTCAGTGTCACCTCCAACACCTGTCCTGAGCTCCTCTCTGCCTCCAAACCTCCTGTTTCTTTGCCACTGTCTTATCCCCACTGCCTTT